CGGCGCCAGACCCATGGGTCGGGGAAGCGTCCCCGGAGGCGTGGCGCCCGTGCCGCTCGACCTCGCGACGGAGCGCGCCGATCCAGCATGGAAGCGGGGGCCCGCCGCGAATCCACACGCAGGGCCTGGCTCCATGCTGGCGCTTCTTCGATCTGGCCCTCCACCCTCCCCCCCGAGATCCTGGCGTTGCACTTCTCTCACGACCGGCGCTCTCGCTCAACCTCTCGGGCCCCGGGACCTTCACGGATCAATCCGGCTCTGCAAATAGGTGGGGCCTGGGGCCCCGGTCGTACTGTAATATGTTGCGCTGTTTTTGCGACGTCGCATCTCAGGGCCCCCACCGGGTTCCAAGAAAGTGGAACGAGGCTGTCCCAGCAAGCGGACCGACGGCCGGGCGCGGAAAATAGGGGAGGGGGGAGGGGGGTGCTGCGGCTCTGGAGCGCTGCGTGGCAGCTTTCAGGCCCACCTCCTGCTCTTCCTCGCGGTCCTCTTCCTCCTCCTCGCTCCTCCTCCTCCTCCTCCTCCTCCTCCTCCTCCTCTTCCACCTGTTCCCCAATTCCTTCTCTCCCCCATATGTTAATTACCTCCCTCCTCCGCCAGCTCCGCCTCCTCCCTCCCCTCTCCTCCTCCTCCGTCTCCTCCTCCTCCTCCTCCTCCTCCTCCTCCTCCTCCTCGTCCTCCTCCTGGTCCTCCTCCTCCTCCTCCTCCTCCTCCTCCTCCTGGTCCTCCTCCTCCTCCTCCACCTCCTCCTCCTCGTCCTCCCCGTCCTCCCCAAATGTCCTTCTCTCCCGGAGTGAGCCATGTGAGCTAACAGTTGGTCGGCACCCTCTCGTGCCGAAGCGCACGTGGGCGCTCGAGGCAATCACCCACTGGACCAGCGCGGCCCGTGATGTGCCTGAACTCCTCAAGGTGCACTGCACCTCTGCACCTTCCAAGGCTTACCTGTAGTCAAGAATAGTAAAGTAGTCTGGGGACACTGTTTTTGAGTAGTTCTGGACTGCTTTGAATATGGTTTCACTGTCTTCCTTGTTTGTTCCACAAAATCAGCGTCTAGGAGGACAAACCCGACCTAATCCAAGGCAGCCGCATCACTGCGCAGAAAAAGAGTCGGCAGGGATTGTCCTCGTCCCCGTCCTCCTCCTCCTCTTCCTACTCCTCCGCCTCCTCCCCCTCCTCCTCCTCCTCCTCCTCCTCCTCCTCCTCCTCCTCCTCCTCCTCCTCCTCCTCCTCATCCTTGGGATAGCAAGGCAGGACCTTCCTCGCCGCTGGCGCGTGGCGCGGCGCGCGCGCGTCATCATGCCTCCTCCCCCTCTCCCACCTCATCCTCTTTCAGCTGCCCTCAGATCCAGGCGTTGCATTTGTTTCAAACGAGGCGTGTTTGCATGTTTAATGTGGCCCATATCAGCCTGGCTGGAATAACGCCGGAAAGATAGGGCCGAGTGTTCCGGTCGGGATGTTCGCGATGTTTGAATGTTCGTGCCGTCGGATCTCAGGGCGCGCCCCCCATCTTACTCCTCCCCTCACCATCATCACCATCATCATCAGCATCATCAGCATCATCGTCATGACCATCATCATCGTCCTCATTGCCATCACCATGACCATCAGCAGCAGCAGCACCATCACCATCACCATCACCATCGTATTAATCCTTGTCGTCACCACCACCAGCACCGTCATTACCCCCATCATCGTCGTCGGTGTCACCATCATCATCAGATCCTTCTTATTCATAATCCTCGTCATCACCATCATCATCGTCATCGTCATCATCAATATCATCGACATCAGCATCAGCATCAGCATCATCGTCATCGTCATCGTCATCACCACCATCATCATCACCATCATCATCGCCTTTATTATCATCTTCATCCTCATCCTCATCCTCATCATCATCATCATCATCATCATCAGCAGCAGCAGCATCATCAGCAGCAGCAGTCTCAGCGTCAGCATCGTCGTCATCGCCTCGCCCGGGCGAGGCGCGCTCCCCCGAGCTGGAGCTGGAGCCGCCGCCCGACCAGCTGGGCGGGGCGCGGTACGACTCCGTGCGGAAGGAGCCCCCCCGCCCTGGGCGGTGCGGCGCCCGCTTCGGGCGCGGGGGCCCTCCGTCGGCGGCTCCCGTGGAGCAGGCGGGCTCCGAGGGAGGCGGACCCTGAGGCTTCTCGTCGCTCTCGGGCTGCTCGCCCCCGCCCCCCTCCTCCCCTCCTCCTCCTCCTCCTCCTCCTCCCTCCTCTCCTCCTCCTCCTCCTCCCTCCTCCTCCTCCTCCTCCTCCTCCTCCTCCTCCGGCTGCTGCTCCTCCTCCTCCTCCTCCGGCTGCTCCTCCTCCTCCTCCTCTCCGCCTCCTCCTCCTCCTCTCCTCCTCCTCCCTGCTCCTCCTCCTCTCCTCCTCCTCCTCCTCCTCCTCCTTCTCCTCCTCCTGCTGCTGCTGCTGCTGCTGCTGCTGCTGCTCCTCCTCCTCCTCCTCCTCCTCCTCCTCCTCCTCCTCCTCCTCCTCCTCCTTCTCCCCCTCCACCCACTTCCCACTCCTCCTCCTCCTCCTCCTCCTCCTCCTCCTCTCCTCCTCCTCCTCCTCCTCCTCCTCCTCCTCCTCCTCCTCCTCCTCCTCCTCCTCCTCCTCCTCCTCCTCCTCCTCCTCCTCCTCCTCCTCCTCCTCCTCCTCCTCTTCTTTCCCATCCGCCTGATCCTACTCCCCCATCCCCACGGATGATTGTGATGGTGCAGATATCGTGGCCAGGGCCACGAGGTCTCCTAGGAGTTCGCTCGGTCCCTTGGTCCCCCCCCCGCCGCGCACGCGCCTGCGGGAATGCTCCGCGAGAGCCCCACTCCTGGGCGCTCACCGTTCGGACGCCCCCGACCCCCAGGCCCTGGGGCCGTCAGCAGCACGAGTCGGGATGGCAAGCTGCAGCTCGACGTCCCGAGTCGTGCTATGAACGGTCCCGCGGGATCTGTTGGCGGAGGGCCCCGCGGGCGAAGAGAGACGAGCGCGATACAGGATGAGACTTGACACCGATCGGACGGATGTTTTTTTTAATATTAAAAAAAAGTTGGGCGAGGACCATCGAGGAGCATCTTGGATCATCTCGCGAAAATAGCAAGCGCACGACATCGAAGCATGCACGGGGAACGGACGTCCGAGCGATGGCGAGAGACGCTTCGCGTAACCCCAGTAGCCCATCCAGGAACGATGCCCTGGCAGGTTGCCCTGATCAGGGATGTGGAGGAGCCCGCAGTGGAATAAAGGGCTGGGGAAGCCGACGTGCCCCAAGAGGTTGAGGATGGAGGAGACATCGGAGGAGGTGGAGGAGGAGGAGGAGGAGGAGGAGGAGGAGGAATCGGAGGGGGAGGGGGAGGAGGGAAGAGTGAGGAGGAGGAGGAGGAGGAGGAGGAGGAGGAGGAGGAGGAATAGGCGGATGAAGAAAAGGAAGAGGAGGAGGTGGAGGAGGAAGAGGAGGAGGAGGAGGAGGAGGGCGAGCAGAAAGGCCAGAGGCCTCTTGGAAGCCTCTTGGGGCGTCTTGGAGGACTGTGGGGGTTCCAGGGGCCTTTTGAGGCGTCTTGGGGGTTTCTTGTCAGTCCCGGGGTCTCTTGGGGCGTCTTGTGTGCCTCTGGGGGGCTTTTTTTGGATCTCTTGGAGAGTCTCTTGGGAGCCTCTGGGGGGCATCTTGGGGGCCTCTTGGGGCCTTCTCCTGGGAGCCTCCTGGGCGCATCTTGGGCTGTCTTGGGGCGCCCTTGGGAGCCTCGGGTGCCATCTTGAGGCCATCTTGGAGGAGATCGATTAAAGGGGGGGGGGCTTCTTAATTTGCATTGTCCCCCCCTTCCTGGAGGCCAACATGTGGCCCAAACCTTGGTAACATCAGTGATTTTAGCTTCCTCGCCGAGGCCATCTTGGACGCTCCAACGCCTCGTGAAACGCCCCCCCGCCAAACCCAGGGGAGCTGCCCGCCTAGACAGCGAGCCGCCTGGCTCACTCCCACCCCCCTCCCAGCACAGGAGTAACACCCGAGTGCCTGCAGATCGCTCGGGAACGCCACACGTGCCATGCGCGCCACGGGCTCCAGGTGCGCGAGGCAACCTGGAGGCCCAAGCGTGCCAGGTGCGGCACGTGCTCCACGTGCGCCACTTGTTCCACGTGCTCCAGCAGCGCCAGGTGCGCCAGCTACGGGGAACCAATACAGTCAAGACGCTGAAATGAGGAACAGCTTGGGTTCGGAAGGGGCTCGATGTTCCTTAGATCCTTCCATGGCTACTCCTCTGGCCCTCCTCGTGCAGCCCGGCTTTTCTGGGGTCAGAAAGGGGTTTTGTTCGTTATTCAGCGTTTCTCATTTCAGCGGCCCGACTGTAGGGACCCCAGGTGCCTGGGGCCGTGGCCCCAAGGAGTTCAGCATGTTGAGGCCCCCCTGAAGCGAGGTGCGGAGCACTCTGTCAGAAGGGCGGCTCCCCCAGGGAGCGCAGAGCACCGGCACCGGTAGACAACTTGCGACATCTTGAAGAGTCGCGAAACGGGTGAGAGCTCAAAGAAGAGGGCCCTGCGCATGCTCCAGACTTGGAGCCAACGAGTACTGGTGCTTCGTTTTTTTGACAGGGATGGTTGGCCTGCGCGTAGCAAGCATTGTGCCGACCCCCGCGCTGTCCCTGTCAAAAACTAATGCAAAATGGTCGCGGGGCGCCCGCGCATGCGCCAGATTTGGAGGCACAGTGCGTTCCGTATTGTGTTTTACAAGGGATGGTGAGGGGGGGCTCATTGGTCCAGGTTGGCTGCCGGTCGCCTGGGGGAGGGGGTGTTTATTATCTTGAGATCCGACATGGTAGCAAAAATTGCAACATTGCAAAGAATCACTGCTCGAGCCCCGGATCCCATGTTTCTGCTTCATTTTTCGAGCTGGATCGATCTGTGAGGATCCCAGGGCCCGACATGGAGTGAAAACGCCCGTAGTGAAAAAAGGCAACACCAAAATCTCAGGGTAGTAGGGAACAGTGATCAATGCCTCCCCGAAGGGGATGAAGGGGGTTGGAGGAGGAAACGCTCTAAACCACTCACGCCCTAAAGTGCTGGTGGGATTCCGCCGTCGGGGGCGCCCGTGCCAGGCTGCGGCCTGGAAGTCTCTGTCCTGCCGTCGTCCGTCCGCCTGTTCCCTGGAGGAAGAAAAACGCACCGAGACACAAAGAAGCGTCGACCTCCAGAAAAGCATTACGGACGTGTGGGGGGGGGCGAACGAAGATCCAGAACATATGGAACGTACGGGGGATATTGGGCTTCGTGTCTCTCGCGAAGGCCTTACGGCTGGTGACGCCGACCCTGAAGGGGGACGACGAAGACCGCTGGTGGCGGCGGCGGCGGCGACGACGACGACGTCGACGCTGACGTGGGCCAGAGTCCTCAGGGATGCTTCTTGGGGTCTCTTTGGGAGGCTCTCGGGGTCATCTGGGGAGAAGTTTGGGGGGCCTCTTAGAAGCCTCTTGGGCGCCTCTTGGGAGCCTCTTGGGGGCCCCTTCGGGCCTCCTCAGGACCTCTTCTGGGCCCTCTTGGGGCCTCTTGGGGGCCTGTTGAACGTACGGGGGATCCTGGGCTTCATGCCTATTTCTCTGTGCGTCCCTGGGCCCCTCGGGCGGCCCCTCTGTCTGGGTGGGCGTTGGCAGGTTGACAGGTTCGGGCGCCGCCACCTCGCACCTCGGTACGCGGACCTCGGTCCTCGAGAGCCTCGAGAGCCTCGTGAGCCTCGCCTTCCTGGGAGCGTTTCGGCGCCCGCCCTCTCGGGGGCGCCCGCGGCGCTGGCCCCACCGGGCGGCGCCCTCCGCCGCCCTCTCGGCGCGCCCCTCGGGCGTGCCCGCGGTGGCGGGCCTTCGGGCGGCCCTTTGGGCGGCCCTTCGGGCGGCCCTTCGGCGCCCGCGGCGCGCCCTTTGAGGGCGGCCCTTCGGGCGGCCTGCCCCTCGGGCGTGCCCACTCGGGCGCCGCGCGGCGTGCTCGGGTCACGCGGGGCGGGGGCTCGCTGCCCAGGCGCGGCCGCGGCAGGCGCACTCCGGAAGGGATACCGATCGAAGGAGAAGAAACGCCATAAACATGAACACGCTGGTGATGTTGCTGTGCGAGCGTGCTTCTCCTCTCAGGTGTCTTGCTTAGAAGGAGACGAAGAATAATTACGAATGCTAACATTGAGAAGAAGAACGCTAAGAGCAAAAACACAACCTGTGTAAACATAAACTTTTGGCGCTCAGCGCGGATTCCTTGGATCCGCGCTAGGCCCCCCCCAGCGGCGCCTCCCGCGCCGCCCCTGGCGCGCTCCGCGCGCCAGGGAAAGGGGTCCAGCGCAGCAGATCCAAGAAATCCTCGCGGAGCGCCAACAGTTATGTTTAGTTATGCAGCTTGTGATTATTATTAGTATTCGTATTACTCTTATTGTTCTTCTCTTCTAAACGAGACACGCGAGAGGAGAAGCACGCTCGTAAAGCAGTATCACCTGTGTATCATAAGAGAGACATGCGTGTCAACATACCGTTTCTGGATTAGTGCTCGTGGTCGTAGCACAGATGACGAAACCATGTCCTTGGACCAGAAAGTCCCTGGATGAGGCTGTCATGTTTGGCACCGGCCAAGCGGCTGGCCCAGTGGTTTCACTGCCACGCGGGTCTGCGATAGCCGGCTGAATCAGATCTCGCACGACAGCGGCCTTCTTGATGCAAGTTGCCTGCTCCATGTTCACGTCAAGTGAAACAGCTGCGCTCGGTGCGAGCACGGCTGTCGCAGCCCGCGCGTCGACAGTCAGACATGTGGCGCGCGGCGTCTCGTGTCAGCATGAGGCGCTGTCGTCGGGCGCCTTCCGATTCCAAAGCTCGTCCGTCCGTCGTTTCTCTCCCGGGGGGGGCCACTGGCTTCAGCGCATGCACCGTTACTGGCGTGCGAGGTGCCCCCTGCGGCACCTGTTCTGCCCCGCCCCGCCCAGGAGCTCTCCGTCCTGATCCCGTTCCTGCCGGAGCCAGGCTCTGGCGGGCCGCCCCCGCGGCATTTCTGTCTGCCCGCTCGAAGGCTCGGGAGGGCGAGACGTTTTGAAGAATGCCTGGGGCGTCGTGGGAGGCTCGAGATTCGGAGGGCAGGAACTGCAAGAACTTCGGGGGCGGCGTTTGGAGCTAGGTTTAAGTCGGGCCTGTCCCTCTACAGGGGGAGTATTCAAAAATAGTCACAAATAGTATGGGGACGACTTTTCGGGGGGTTCTAATTTTTGTCTGGTTATTTTCAAATGTTTGGGGGGTATGTTTTATGATTCATCCAAAGTCCGCCTGTAGGGGGACATGCCCGACCTAAAGCTAGGTCGCCGGCGGGGGGCGCGAAGAGAAGCGCGCGCCGCGGTGTGGGGCATGGAGGGCTGCCGCTTTTCCCGCGAGGGGGGGGGGCGCGGTGGCGCGAAGATATCCCCGCCGGGCGCGACGCGCGAGGGCAGACTGCGAGGGACCTGCCTGGGGCCCACCTAACGGATCTGTTCGACCCCAGTTCGGCTCAAGTTCGATTCAAGTTCGACTCAGGCTCGATTCAGGTTCGACTCAAGATCGACTCGAATCGACGGACGTTCGACGCAGCTCCGACGCAATAGTGGAGCGAGTGGCTCCAGGAAGGTCCCCTGAATGAGCAGCCTAGATTACACAGAAAGCGTACGTATGCATTTCGCCCCCCGCTATTGCCACTTATGGAGTATTGGGCACATGCTCGAAGGCCTCTACGAAGTTCGCGGAGCTTGTTTGAATGTCGGGGGCCCTGGCTCTGGTTTTGCTGTTGTTGTTGTTGTTGTTGTTGTTGTTGTTGTTGTTGTTGTTGCTGTTGAATTCTCGTTGTCTCTCCCGCTCGCCAGTTGCACTGTTGCCCTCCTTGCGCATGGACACCACTTTGATGCCTGGGATCCCAAAGTTTGGATGTGTATCTTGGCATCTTGATGTCGTAACCAACGCGGTCTTACATGGGGGGGGCGCAGAAGGTGTAGGAAGATGGATAGAGGGGGACAACGAGAGCGATGCCATCGAATAGCATACAAGAGGGAAACAGGAGGAGGAGGAGGAGGAGGCAACGTAGAAGAATGGAGAGGAGGAGGGAAGAGGCGGAGGAGAAAGTCCAGAGTGAGGGGAGGTGAAGAGGGAGAAGAGGAAGATGGTTAGGAGGGCATGAGGAAGGAAGAAGGACGAGCAATCGGGGAGGGAGGACGTTGAGGCGAGAGGCAGGAAGTGGAAGAGGAAGGACAAGGGAACAACAGAAGGGGTGAGGGAGGCGCAGGGGATAAAAGAGAAAAGCCGATGGAGGGTTAGCCTCCTCGCTCTGTCGGGGCCTCCCTGGAGGGTGAGAAGGTGCGCGAAACCTTGAGACAGTATGGGTTTCGAATACCCTCCTCGCTCAGGCGGGGCCTCCCTGGAGGAGTGGGAGGGGCACAGAACCTGATACATAACATTGCTTGCGAATACCCTCTTCGATCAGGCGGGTCCTCCCTGGAGGAGTGGGAGGGGCCACGGAACGTGATAAATACATGGTTTTCGAATACCATCCTCGCTCAGGCGGGGCCTCCCTGGGGGAGTGGGAGGGGAACGAAACCTGACAAATAATATGTTTGTCGAAAACCCTCCTCGCTCAGGCCGGGCCTGGAGGGGTGGAATGGGCACGAAATTTGATGCATAACATGGCTTGCGAGTACCCTCCGCGCTCAGGCGGGGCCTCCCTGGAGGAATGGAAGGGGCACGGAACCTGATACATAACATGGTTTTCGAATACCCTCCTCACTCAGGCGGGGCCTCCCTGGAGGAGTGGGAGGGGCACGACACCTTATGCATAACATGTTTTTCGGATACCCTCCTCGCTCAGGCGGGGCCTCCCTGGATGAGTGGTAAGGGCACGAAACCTGGTAAATAGCTTGGTTTTCGAATACCCTCCTCGCTCAGGCGGGGCCTCCGAAAAGTGAGAGGGGCACGACACCTGATGAACAGCATGGTTTCCGAATACCCTCCTCGCTCAGGCGAGGCCTCCCTGGAGCGGTTGGGGGACGAAACCTTGTAAATGGCATGGTATCCGGATACTGTCCTCGCTCTGGCGCTGCTTCCTTGGAGTGGTAGGTATGGTATTGTAGCTTTGGTATCGTATGGTAGCTTCGGTTTGGTAGGTGTGGTATGATGTGGTAGGTGGTGTGACATGGCATGGTATGGTAGGGAGGCGGGAGAAGGAGAAGGAGGAGAAGGAGAAGGAGAGGGTATTCTAGGATGTTGATGGCTTCGTGGGATCAATGAGGCAACATGATCGCAATATGAATGGCAAGGGTCATCGCAAACGTACATGCGAAAGAAACGGCAGACGAAGGCAAGGAGGGGGAGCAGCAGGGAGAATAACGACTGCTGTTCAGGAAGCACGTTCGACCCTGGAGGAGTGGGGGGGGCACGACACCTGATAAAAAAAACGTGGTTTTCGAATCCCCTCCTCGCTCAGGCGGAGCTTCCCTGGAGGAGTGGAACGCGCACGAAACCTGATAGATATCATGGTTGTCGAAAACCCTCTTCGCTCAGGCGGGGCCTCCCGGAGGAGCGGGAGGGGCACGGAACTCGATACATATCATTCTTTTCGAATGCCCTCCTCGCTCAGGCGAGGCCTCCCTGGAGGAGTGTGAGGGGCACGAACATTGGTAGATAGCATGGCTTTCGAATACCCTCCTCACTCAGGCGGGGCCTCCCTGGAGGAGAGGGAGGGTCACGAAGCCTTCTACATAACATGGTTTTCGAATACCCTCCTCGCTCAGGTGGGGCCTCCCTGGATGAGTGGGAGGGGCACGACACCTGATACATGACATGGTTTTCGAATACCCTCCTCGATCAGCTGGGGCCTCCGTGGAGGAGTGGGAGGGGCACGACACCTGATACATTGTATGGTGTTCGGATACCCGCCTGGCTCAGGCGGGCCCCCCCTGGAGGAGTGGCATGAAACCTGATACATAGCATTGTTTCGAACACCCTCCTCGCTCAGGCGGGGCCTCCCTGGAGGAGTGGGAGGGGCACGACACTTGGCACATGCGGCTGTTTTCGAATACCCTCCTCGCTCAGGCGAGGCCTCCCTGGAGGAGTGTGAGGGGCACGAAACCTGATAAATCCATGGTGTTCGAACACCCTCCTCACTCAGGCGGGGCCTCCCTGAAGGAGTGGGAGGGGCACGATACCTGGTACATGACATGGTTTCCGAATACCCTCCTCACTCTGGCGGGGCCTTCCTGCAGGGGTGGGAGGGGCACGAAACCTGGTAAGTAGTCTCGTAGCCCGATGTTGTCCTCGCTCTGGCGTGGCCTCCTTGAAGTTTCAGGTATGGTATGGTAGCTTTGGTATGGTAGGTGTAGCATGGTGTGGTAGGTATGGTATGGCATGAGAGGTATGATATGGTAGCGGTAGCTATAGTCTAGTATGGCATGGTATGGTAAGTATGGTATGGCATATGATGTTTGATATGGTAGGCATGGTAGGTATGGTATGGTACGGTAGGTATGGTATGGTAGGTGTGGTATGGTAGGTATGGTATGGTATTGGTATGGTACGGATCTGTATGGTATAGTAGGGAGGCGGGAAAACGAGAAGGAGAAGGATAAGGAGAGGGTGTTCCAGGAAAGTTATGCTTGCGGAGTTCCCCACAAGGGGGCTTTATTTGGGTGGGGACTTACAGTGGGGGGCGCAGAAGGTGTAGGAAGATGGATGGAGGGGGACAACGAGAGCGACGTTATCGAATGGCATACAAGACTCTTGCGAGATTGCCCCGTCCTCCTAGTGGCCGTCGTCTCTGTTCTCAAGCTACGCGCCCCCCGCGGTTGCGGTGCATTTGCGGTTACAATCGGCAGCGCCGATGATAAGGGCATCGCGCAGAAGCAAGGAGAGGGCGAGTCAGGAGGAAGAGGAAGAGGGGGAGGTGCGGGGTAAAGGAGATGACGGCGATGGCCAGGCGACGGGGACAATGAAGATGGCGATGGGCGATGGCGATTTGCAGGCAAATGCTATCGGGGACATCTCGCGTGCACGACGCGGCCAAAATAATGGAAAGCGCAACGATCGGAAGAGAGCGGGGGGGCCCCACGCGCGCAGCACGCCCCCGGGCACTCCAGCAATGCGTCCGCGAGCGCCGAGCACGACACCTGATACGTAGCATGGCTTGCGAGTACCCTCCTCGCTCAGGCGGGGCCCCCCTAGAGGAGTGGGAAGGGGCACGAAGCCTGATAAACAATATGGTTTTCGAATGCCCTACTCGTTCAGGCGGGGCCTCACTGGAGGGGTAGGAGGGACACGAAACCTGATAATATCACGGTATTCGAACACCCCCCTCGCTCAGACGGGGCCTCCCTGGAGGGGTAGGAGGGACACGAAACCTGATAATATCACGGTATTCGAACACCCCCCTCGCTCAGGCGAGGCCTCCGTGGAGGGGTGGAAGGGACACGAAGCCCATTCAGGATGTGGGGAACAATAACCCCGCTCAGGATGTGGGAAAAATCGTGGATGTTCAAGACGCGATGTACCGCCCCATCATGTTCCCCGCGGGGTTCATGAACTGGCCTCCATTGTAGCAGGTGGCCGCAGGAGCGACGTCCCCGCGCGCCCGGATCTGGGCCTTCCCGCATGGCTTCTCTTGTGCTCGGTTTTCGGCATTTTGTTTTCGGGCGACGAACTCTGTACAGTACATCTCCAGGCCCCCTCGCGCTATGAAAAAATCACGACGGGAGGTATCTGGAGGCCCCCACCGGGCGTCGGGACCAGCAAAAAACAACGCAGGATGAAACGCCAGTCCCGGGGAAGGGGTTCAGACCTCCGGGGCCCGACGATGCGAAAAGATCACAACGTCGGGGGTCTGGGTCCACTGCTCCCTGGCCAGGCCCATCCTGGACATGGGGGGCCACGTATACGCCACGCCCTCTGAGCCGAGCCAGGAGAGCGTGGCGTGTACGCCGCTGCTGGGTTGAGGCTGGGACTTTCAAGCCAGGCGACGTCCTCACGCGCCCGGCTCTGTCTGGGTCTTCCCGCATGGCTTGCGCGTCGCGGGATGGGGCGATAAATGGGGGGGGGGGGCAGCCAGGGCTGCAGAAAGGGGACCCTCTTATGTCCTTCAAGGGGGCCCTTGAGGACCCACAACGGGGCCTCAGGGGCCCGAGAAGTGCCCCTTTCTCCCCCCCCCACATCTATCGCCTCCCATTGAGCGACGCCCACATGGCTTCTCGTCTGCCCGGCTTTCGGAACCTCTGTTTGGACCCGTCGCCCTTTTGCCGGTTGGCATTGTGGGCGAAACGGGTCCTAAGGCTTTTCGCCGTTTTCGCGCTCTCGGGTCCCTCCACGGGCCCCGGGACCATCAGGAAACGATTCAGGCATTCAGGATGAAGATCTCGCCTTGGGGGAAAGCCCCAGAGGGTCCTGGAACCGCTTCCCTCAGGACCCGTTTCCCCTATGCTAGATGTTCGTGGTGGTGATGGTGGTGGTGGTGGGTGGTGGTGGTGGTGGTGGTGGTGGTGGTGGTGGTGGTGGTGGTGGTGGTGGTGGTGGTGTGTGTGTGGGGGGGGGGTCGTGCACTGTGCCTTCGACGGTGCTCGATCGCAATTAGCACCTCGATTTGCTGTTCGCGCCTGAGGACCCTCTGCGCCGCTGGCTTGAAGTGTGGGGCGGGGGGGCCTCGGGGGCCCTCGTGGGGCCACACTGGACGCCATCGACCAAACGGGGGAGGATCCCAGGTTCTCGCCCCCCACCCCGCCCCCCGTCAGAGGCCGAGTAGTGGGTCGCTCATGGGACTGCCTTGGGGCCTCCTGAGGCCCTTCGTGGGGCTGTTTTGGGCCATCTCGGAACCGCCTTGAGGAGCCCGAAGAGGCCGCCGGGGACCGAAGAGGCCAGGAGCCACTTGGGACCAAGAAAGGCGTTCTGAGACCCCCTCGGCACCTCTCGGGCCCTACCAGAACCCAGGGAGGAGGAGGAGGAGGAGGAGGAGGAGGAGGAGGAGGAGGAGGAGGAGGAGGAGGTGAAGGAAAGGGTAGGGCATGGATACACTCCCTTAGACAGGAGAAACAGGGGGTGGACGAGCTAGCCCCCTTGAGCGACCTACAGCCACAGGGCTCGTAAAACTCGGGGGCGCAAATGAACGTGATACCAGAAGTAATCAGAAGTTCAGAAAGATTATCTCCTCATGGTCTCGAGTTGGATCTGGCCGGAAGCTTACAATCGAGTCGGGCTGGTCAGGAAGCGGAGGTACTCAGCCATGATAATTGTAGTGGCCTCCGGCCAGTGCCGCCGATCCAGGGCGCTTCTGATGCTATTGTTGAGATGGACGGTGAGGACGACAACGAGCGACCAACGGTCGACGAGTGGGATCATTGCGACGACGACCGACGAACGGGTTCACGACGACGGTTGACGACGACGACGACGACGACGACGTCGACGACGACGACGACGACCACGACGTCGACGACGACGACGACTGACGGCGGACGGCTGCCGACGGCCGACGACGATCTCGTGGTAGGTCTCTCGGGGTCCTCATGGGTGCACTTTTGAAGCATCCTGGGGGCCGTTGTGGGGACCCTCGAGGCCTCTTCTGGGCCACTTGGGGGCCTCTTGGGGGCCTCTTCTGGGCCTCTTGGCTCCTGCTGGGGGCCTCTTGGGGGCCTCTTGGGACCTCTTGGGACCCTCGTGGGGGCCTCTTGGGGGCCTCTTGGGGCCTCTTGTGGGCTTCTGGAGGCCGAGGGCTCGAAATTTCCGTTCTGGTTCCCCGTCTCGCTCCCTTCTTTGAGCCGTCTTGAGAGCCTTTGGGGCCGTCTTGGGGGTCTCTTGGGCCGTCTTGGGGCGATCTTGGGGGCCTTCTGGGCCGTCTTGGAGCGTCGGGAAGCCGAAAAGGCGGGAAGGCCACAATCCGATCAAAACCGCACTAAAAAGTGCGGTTTGGGCTTCTAAGGGTCCTCTTCTGAGGGCTCTTGGAGGCTTCTTGGAGCGTCTCGGCGGCCTCTTGGTCCATCTGGAGGTCATCTTCGGCATCTTGAAGCGCTCTGTGGGCGTCTCGGAGGCTTCTGGGGCCCTCTTGGGAGGTCTTGGAGCCCTCTTGGCTCGTCTTGCAGCCCACGTGGGCCCAGGAAAGCCCCCCCCCCCCCCCCGAAAAGCGGGCCACAACTCGTCCCCCCCCCCCCCCCTCCCCCCCCCCTGCCCCAGCAGAGCCCCCCCCCCGGCCCCCCCCAGCAGAGCTGAAGCTCAGGCTCTAGGCTGTAGGCTGTAGCTGAGATCGGTCGAACGTGGCATTGGGGCAATCTGTGCGCCGATCAGTCAGTGGCCCTTGTCTCCCAGAGCCAAGGCACAAACAACAAGATGTGCGACCCCACCCGCCTGCCCCACCGAAGCAAAGCGGCCAAGGGGGGCTGGGAGGGAGGGGGGGAGGGCGATGGGAGGGAGGAGTGGGAGGAGAGGGGAGGGAGGGCAGGGGAGGGGAGGGAAAGAGAGAGGGAGGGAAAGAGAGAGGGAGGGAAAGAGAGAGGGAGGGAAAGAGAGAGGGAGGGAGGGAGAGGGAGGGAGAGGGAGGGAGGGAGGAGGGAGAAGGAGGGATGCAGGAGGCGGAGGGCGATGTCAGGGCCGGAGGGCCGACCCCGCCGGCAAATCAGGCTACCGCGCCTTCGCGGCCAACGTGCCAGGCCCGGCCGGCTGCTGCGCCACTCTCCATCCTGCTCCTCCCCCCCCCCTCCTCCTCCTCCTCCTCCTCCTCCTCCTCCTCCTCCTCCTCCTCCTCCTCCTCCTCCTCCTCCTCCTCCTGGACAGCAGCGCTGCAGCACTGCAGGGATGGAGCAGGAACGCGAAGAGGAGAGTGAGGAGCATCAGCAAGAGGAGGATCAGGAGTTGGACGGAGGGAAAGAACAGGAGGTCTGCGGAGCAGGAGGAGGAGGCATCATATGAGAAGAACGGATATGAGCATGGAGGACAACGATCAGGTTGCGAGGGAGGAGCAGGAGGGCTGCGGAGTAGGGGGGAAGAGAAGGAGAAGGAAT